ATTGATGGACGTTCACCGACCGCTAACGGATCTCACTTGTCCCGCTCTGCCTTTACCGTGGGCCTCCTCTCTCGGGCCCTGACAGCAGCTATAGCAGCCAGTAGTATAGGCAGACAGTATTACCGACAAAGACAAAGGAGACTGAAAAGAGCCATTTCTGGTTTGTTAGCCGGCGTCAGGCCGTCATACCCAGACCCAAGTGGCGTCCCACCCGAGCCTCGAACTCGCGAAATTTTGATCAGAGCCTAACGCCCTAACCATTGAGCCGCGGGCTAGTTGAATAGCCGGTTTAGGTCGGGAGATATTGGCACTCATTGATGGACGTTCACCGACCGCTAACGGATCTCACTTGTCCCGCTCTGCCTCTGCCTTGGGCCTCGTTTCCCGGGTCCTGATAGCAGCTATAGCAGCCAGTAGTATAGGCAGACAGTATTTCCGACAAAGACAAAGGAGACTGGAATGGCAACTTCTGGCTTATTATCTGTCGCCACCCAGTTATACCCAGGCTCAAATGGTACACCATCCGAGACTCGATGTCGCAATGGCTTAATCAGATCAGAAGAAGAAGATGCGACCACTGGAAATAGAGTTTTTTGTCCTTGATGTTTGAGATTCCGTCGAAAATCCCTAATCAAAGGATTATCGGAGCCATGCGCAGGTAGAGTTGAAACGTGCGCAGATTGCACGGTATTCTTAGCAGTAATCCGCGTGTTTACTGAAATTATTCACTCCTGTAGCCACCGCTTGGGTCCTAATGAGTCGAACGCGAAGAGTCAACCCATCCACGCATTACCTATGATTAAGGATTCCCGACGGAATCGAAAACGTCAGACATACCTCGCTTTCCTACTTTGGCTTCGGCTGTGTTACTTGACATATTCAACCCACGGACGTCTCGAGTTTGATGCGACTACTTTGTATACACTAGGTTGTGTTACTCAACAAGAAATTCCATAATTCATTGCATCCCCGCGGAGATCTTTAGTCAGGGGAGCAGAGATATGTCCACAGTTATCCAGAAAAAAAATATTTATATAATTTAACAGTGAGGATTTATCGCATTTAATATTCATAATATACTATAAGTACTACTAAAAGCGTTTCAAACGCTTATTTACTACCACTGTAAAGAAAAAGGCTCTTCAGAAGTTAAGGGTACCCAATGTCCGGTTAAAAAAAATGAGATTCAAATTTTTCCATCTCATTAGCTTTCGCCAATGTTGACGAACGTCGGGTTCGTTTCGTGTTCGATTTTTCTGATCTCAGGTTCGATTCGGGTCCGAATTGTTGTACATTGTTTTTCAAGTATGATGCGCCTGTACATTGGCATAAGGTGCAGCTAAATTTCTTCAAAGAATGGAAAAGTCGGAGTTGCGTTAAGAACAATCCATAAGGGATTATTATGAGATAATACGTTGCTTTTGTGAATAATCGAATTAAAATTGGGAGGCAGCTTGCCTGAATTTTCACTCATTTCCCTTCGTGGGATAGGTATTTTACGACATTAGTGACAAATTATGACTGATATCAGAAAAACCTACATTATGTATATGTTGTGTTTATTTCTACTAAACAACTATTTTATGCCCGAAAATATTAACATTATGTGCCCAATGTATGACTTTCCACCACCTAAGATGACAGTCAGCGATTTGAAATAGTCCCACGGTTATGTGAATAACGTTTTAAAAAGGCAACATGCTTATTTATTACGGAAATAACAATATATCCTCAGCTGTAAGATGTCCTTTGGAAATAAATTTGACCGCACACATTTTGAAAATTGACTTACTGATCACCCCTCACCTTTTAAAAAGATGTCAAAAATAACAAAAAGGAAAAAAAAGGTTTTACAATGAGTACCTACTAACCTCGGGAACGAAGCCGGTTTCCCTGTAATTCGTAATGACTTCCCGCAAGGCAACGCGCTGTGGGTATAGCAGAAAGACGCCCTGATTAATCGGTCTTTTCCAGTCGGCATCAAGTATTCGGGACATTTCCTTGAAGTTCACATTGCCATCTCCGCCTTTCTTGCTGATCCGATCAAGGGGAAATGTGGTGTATCTGGTTACTCGGAGGAGTGGGTCGACACAATAGCGCAAACCCAGATCGTAGACGCCATCCGACATTCGTTCAGGAGCATTAATCCATCGAAGTTTGCATTCGTTCAAGGAAGCCTCAACTGCACTGGGTTCGAAATCAGTCAACATCCACTGACTTGAGATGTAGACCTCTTGAATTATTTTCGACGTTACCATTATTGTCATGAGACCAAGCGACTTAAACCGAGACCAACTCAGACTGTGCATCATGATCGTTCCCCTTCTGGTTGCCTCGACACACCTCCGATTAGATTTCACGCAGCTAGAGTTATCCTATATACATAACGTCCTGAATGCTGCAGGACACCCACAGAGGGCTTATCAACAACCCTATTCTGGCCAATCAGAAGTTACAAATACAAGGTTATTCTGGCGGCGCTCGAATGTACTTTATGGCAAGTAGAAGATCCCGCTTAGTTTGCTCAATTTAATTGAACACAAAGTTGCTTTGATTTTCGACTCAGCTGCAAATATAGGCATAAACGTTTGCACCCACCGATGAAAATCATACAATATGTGACTAATCTAGCCCAGTATTGACTACAATGCATATTTCCACCACTGCTAAGCCGAAGACTATTATCGCATGCCTGACCTTCCCCAATGTGAAAGTGCGATTTCCATTTTAACAGACTACCATCCTATTAAGGGTGTATTTTATCACATTGATGAACGTTCGTCTAACCACTAAGAAAATTCATTTCTCTCCCCTTGCCTTGGGCCTCGACAGAGGCCCTGGCAACCGCAACATTCGGAATATGTTAGACCGTATTGCCGGCAAAGATAAGGGAGACTGGAATGTCCAGTTCTCAATCATAAGCCGTTGTCAGCCAGTCATATCCAGACTCCAGTAGTGTACCACCTGAGCGGATAAGCCAATGTTATTTCCAAACCTGGAGTAGCTACACAAAAGCGCACAGATAATTCTGGCGGGCCCAGTGATGAGCCCAAATACCCAACTCAGCTGTGTCGAGCAGGAACCAAAAAAATACAGCAAAACACGTGGCTTGTTTTTCAGTTAGTATTTCTGCTGCCAGTATGGTCAATAATTACTTACATGATACCCTTTATGTCCTGTCATACTTATTTAAGTCAGTGTGCGGTATTTTTTGAATGGCCTAACTCGGGACTGGTTGAGGGATCCAATCGTTGAAAAACAATTCTCTTTTCGCCGTTGGATTTATAATGGTTGCTCCCAAACCATTCTGGGCGCTCGACCGACAAAGCTTTATCAAGGGACTTTCAACGACAACATCAATTGTCTGTTGGTCTGCGTCATCCGTACAGCGACAAAAATCAACCCAACTTAACCAGCATGTTCTTCCGATTACTTCCGTGGATGGCAATTGACTCGTAAGCGCTTATCCCCATCAGCTATGCTTATTGCAAATATAAGATACATATCTTACCACTCAGATATTATTACAGTATAGGTACTACCATGCTGTTATGATACGCAAATTCTGAAACATGTTGTTTCCTTAGTTAGACAGGAGATGTTCTGCAACTTTCAAACTATACCTGGATAGGGTAGCAATTCTATAGTAAGCCTGAAGACGGTAAATGGCAGTACCATACGACATGGTAACCACTGAGCTATCATGCAGACAGACGGTACCTGGAACTTTGCGTTTTTTATCGAAAGATACACCCAGTGACTAAAAGAAGAGGCACATGGTGGACATAATCGAACTCGGTGGTCAAACCATCATCTGCCTGATACAAACGTTCC